CGTTGCATCAGCGGATTCCTCCAGCGGCTCAATTTTGGGAACTAATTACTTCAAAATTGATCCACTGGAGAGGACTTTAAATTTTTTATTTAAAAGCAATTTACTTACCTTGAGTATGAACTGGAAAGATGTCTGTTCCCTTCGTTGGTCCCGTCGGAAGACCATTCAATCCCGTAGATGGTCACTGGAGACCAATTTCGCAGCCCGGATAATCGGAGCAAGCAGCCGGCTGAAAAAAATTATTTACAAAAATTATCATTGTTTTGGTTTTTATTTCATTTAAAAAGCAATTTACTTACCTTGAGTATGAAGCAGAAAGATGTCTCTTCCTTTCGTTGGTCCTGTCGAAAGACCATTCGATCCCGAAGATGGCCATCGGAGACCAATTTTGCAGAGCGGATAATCGGAGCAAGCAGCCGGCTGAAAAAAAATATTTACAAAAATTAACATTGTTTTGGTTTTTATTTCATTTAAAAGCAATTTACTTACCTTGAGTATGAAGTAGAAAGATTGCTCTTCCCTTCGGTGGTCCCGTCGGAAGACTATTCGACCCCAAAGATGGCCATCGGAGGCCAATTTTGCGGACCAGATAATCTTATGAGCAGCCGGCTGAAGAAAAAATGAAGTACAAAAATTAACAACATTGTTTTGATTGTTTTGTTAATTTAAAGCATTTTACTTACCTTGAGTATGAACTGGCAAGATGTATCGTCGGACCATCGGACCAATCCGGAAGATGGCCATCTGAGGCCAATTTTGCGACCCGGATAAAAAAAACCAGCACCTGCCACGAACGAAATGAAAACATGGCTGACCGCTTAGTCAGCCGACGCAAAAAAAAATCGCAAAAAAATGGCTAAGTTTCATCCGCCATTTGGTAGCCCGGCGCATGAAATTACTCTAGCGTGGCGAGTCGCCCTTCGTCCGCATCCCGGAGCGCCATTTGGTAGCCCGGCGGATGAAATTACTCTAGCGGGGCGAGTCGCCCTTCGTCCGCATCCCGGACAAAGGGCGAACGATCAGTCTTCAAGTCGCTCAATGTCAAATGACGTCACTTTTTCGCCGGCAATTCGTGTGGGAAGAGTGTGTATCATTTTGTCATTTTTTTATGCATTTCAGTTTTGAGTAGAGTGAAAGAGATAGAACCAAAATATTCTAGTGGTATTGGTGAAAATGCTAGATCAATCCAATAGTAGTGTTGCCATGTGGTACAATCCAGTAGTAGTGGTGTTGCCATGTGGTACACTGAAAAATTGCAATAGCAGGTTAGTCACCAAAGTTTTCGAGCCGCTCCGTCTGTCACTTCGTTTGTGCTACTACTAGATTGAACTAGCATTTTCACCAAATGTACTAGAATGTTTTGGTTCTATCTCTTTCACTCTACTCAAAACTGAAATGCATAAAAAAATGACAAAATGATACGCACTCTTTGCACACTGTCAAAGAATCATTGTACACAAAATCAACTTTGTTCAAATCAAAACAAAAAAACTAACCCATCTGGTGGATGATGGCACAACCCGAAAAAAAAATAACAACAAAAATACATTAAAAAACAATGTAACAATCGAGGTAACAATAAGACGAAAATTATTGTCTTAACAATGATTTATATTGTTACGTCTACAATACATTTACCTTGATTTATGTTGTACAAAACAATAAATTTCATGGTAAATGGAAAATTTACAATAAAAAAGGGGGGTTGTTAAGTATCTTAACAATGAAATTTTCGTGATTTTCCCATATAATTTTTTTTCAATAACATTATATATTATTGTTATTTTACTGTTGGTTGGCGAATTTATTGATTAAAAAAATAACAGTGTACTTTAGAGTGTATGTGTTGGCTTGACAGATCTACTTTATCGACTTTAAAAATAAATCGAAAAAATAAAACATTGCCCCGGGAAGGGAAGGGGGTGGTATGTCTGTTTACGGGTGGTCCTTTTTTTACTGGTTATGGATCGAGATTCGATCCGGAACTTGTGAGAAATGCAGGCCAACTCCCCTGCGCTCGATATCCCTAGGTCACGTCTCCTTGGTGGTTGAGCGTCGTTGATAAGTTAATGCATTCGACTGGAGAGAATCGCCCATGAAATGTGCTTCCACCTGAGAGTTCCTTCCTGACATCTTCAAGTGGTGGAATTGTATAATTATTGTATGATTATTGACTGCACGGAAAAGGTCTCCATTAAGCTTTAGAGAGGGTCTACAATAAGATATGAGCGGACGCGGACTGCCTGGTTTTGAGCCAAACGAACTGTCAAAGACAAAGCCATACGAGCAGCGCCTATCTTAATTACATTGGCAGTGTTGCTGACCCTCTCATAGTCTGCATGCTTCAATCAGATTTATTTTTATTGTTCGTGAAGTAACCCACAATGAAAATACACCAATATTTAATGTAACAACAATTTTTATTGTAATAGAGTTCTTCATTATTGTTCATGATCGAATCATGTTAACAATAAAATAAATGAAAAATACGATAAAAATCATTGTAACAACATTTTATTATGTACATTCATTGTACAGCTAGGTAGCAGTTTTGCCGTTTTCGGAAGAGTACAACATTATAACAATCATTTTTATTGTCGACAATAAATATTAATGTTAGAGCATTGTTTCCACTGAAAATTTCACTGTATTTTTTTTTCGGGAAGCTTCTAAGAAAATTCTATTACAGTGAACCACATTATTTAAATGGTTTTCTTCGCCAGTTAGTCGTCTGTCACTTCGTTTGTGGTAGTAGTGTTGCCATGTGGTACAATCCAGTAGTAGTTGTGTTGCCATGTGGTACACTGAAAAATTGAAATAGCAGGTTAGTCACCAAAGTTTTCGAGCCGCTCCGTCTGTCACTTCGTTTGTGCTACTACTGGATTATACTAGCATTTTTACCAAATGTATTAGAATGTTTTGGTTCTATCTCTTTCACTCTACTCAAAACTGAAATGCATAAAAAAATGACAATATGATACACTCTTTGCACACTGTCAAAGAATTATTGTACACATAATCAACTTTGTTCAAATCAAAACAAAAAAACTAACCCATCTGGTGGATGATGGCACAAGCTTCCAAGAAAATTCTATTACAGTGAACCACATTATTTAAATGGATTTCTTCGCCACCCGCATAAACGCGAACCATCACATGACCTTACCGATAATGGTTATAAATTGTTTATAATCCCTGCTAAACTTCAACTGAAATGGTTATGGAACCTTACATGAACGTTTGTGTGATAAAGTTTTAACCTTATGTGTTATGGTTTTTTGGAAGCGGACCTTACAAATAATGGGTTGTTAAGAACCATTACCATTCCAAATTCTTGTTTTCTCCATACATTTTCGGAAAGAGAACTATATTAGAACGTTTTTACTTATGGTTTGAGAACATTAATGGTTATGGTTATGGTAGTCAGTAAGGTCCATTAATGGTTTTGTATTATCACTCAACTTTACGTGAAATATACCGTGAATTGGTAATCAGTAATTTACAGGCAACCAATTCGCGATATATTCCACATAAAGTTGACGATGTTACAAAACTATTCATGGACCTTACTGGTTACCATAACCATTACCATTAATGTTCTTAAACCATAAGTTAAAAGGTTTTAGTAAAGTTTTCTTTCCGAAAATGTATGGAGAAAACAAGAATTTGGAATGGTAATGGTTCTTAACAACCCATTATTTGTAAGGTCCACTTCCAAAAAACTATAATACTTAAGGTTAAAACTTTATCATTAAACGTTCATGTAAAGTTCCATAACCATTTCAGTTGAAGTTTAGCAGGGATTATAAACAATTTATAACCATTATCGGTAAGGTCAATTTATGGTTCGCGCTTATGCGGGCAGTTAGTCGTCTGTCACTTCGTTTGTGGTTATATCTAGGGCTGATCCCCCTTTTTGAATTGTTTGTTGAGATTTCACAACGTTCGTTTCTTACAAACAAACGGCTGTCATCGTTACTTGTCATGATACTTATGGAGATGTGACCCGATATGAGAGATGAGACCGATAAAAATCGACATTATTTGTTTTTTGAGATTTAGAGATTTAAGCACGATTATATCGGATGAATTCGAATAAATGGATTTCTTCAACTATAAATCATTAAATCCAACTTAAGAGTAATTATTGGCAAAATTTGAATAATTCTGCACGGTAAGAAAAAAGTACCCAAAATTGAGTTCCTTTCACTCATCACGTGGCTTCCGTGGGGCTAGGTAAAATTAAGTTAAAGAAGAAAACTCAATTTTGAGTAATCCTGGCGTTGACCAAGTTGACAAAAAAATAATAAAACGGAGCAGACTGGAATCGAACCATGGACGTTGAGATTACGGGGCCCGTGTGTTGACCACTCGTCTATCAACGCTTGTGAAAATGAAATTGTTAAAGGCGCAAAAAAGCAACCTCAATGAAAATAAACTTATATTTGAGTTCATTTATTATTACTCAATAGTTGAGTAAATTTTAACCAACGCCGCTTTTCTGATACACTCAACGGCGGACCTCAAATGATAGAACCCAACGTTGAGTTTTTTTCAACTTAATTTTGAGTATTTTTTCTTACCGTGTGGGACTTTCGCTCGCCCCGCGGTGGGAGTCGTTACATAGCAAAAAAAATGTATTATCGATCAATGTAATTCAAGCTGATGTATTAAATAATGATGTAATAGCAAAAATCAGATACAGTATTACATCAATGGATGTAATTTTGTTCGCAAAATCGATGTACATCGTACAACGTTATATTATACAACCGATGGATTGACCTGGTTGCAGCAGTTTGGATGTAATATTCAACAACTTTTTTTCTGTGTACAACCCGTTGCTAAAGTGGGTATTAAACCCCGTTTAGCGCCCCGCGGTGGAAATGCTCTTATAGCGCTTTTATAGCGACATTTTTGGGTAGAAATTTGTAAAATTGTTAATTACTTTGCAACGTGTTCACCAACCAACTGTCAAAGTCGGAAAAAGCTGCGAAAATAAAAGTTGCAAAAAACAAAGACTTGTGGAAATTTTAATGCTGGTGAAAAAATAAGAAAATTGAATTAAACTATTATCGAAATCAGTTAAAGTGGCATACAAATAGAGCAAATGATAGGTATACTTATGTTTATGATAAAAAATATTCAATGGAAAATCCGCTTACCTCATCATTTTTCTCTCGATTTTGCATGCATTTTTTTTATAAACAATCCCAAGATGGCAGCCTATAAGTATTGTTTGTATTATTTGCGGAGTTTACTATTTTTTTGCCAACATGGAATGAATTCATTGCCTACTATTGTTTTTATATAAAAAAGATCTATGATGATAATAGATTTATCTTGATGGATGTAGGCGTCTTTAATATCTGTATAAAGAAAGAGATAAGGATTATTAACTTCTGTCGAGTATTAATAAAAGCCACTGAAGAAGTCACATTTTAGACAAAATACGCTCATCTGTCAAGGATAAACAAGTTAGTGGAAATTATAAACAGATTTATGTTGTCTGGGAAAGGCATTTTATATTCTATTCCATAATGTGACAGATTGAAGTATTCCTAACATGTTTGCATTAGTATTGTGTGGCAAGTACTATCATACTTCATGCCCTGGAAAGCCGAGAAATTTTCTAAGCCGAAAAAATCCTCGACTAAACCGGGAATCGAAATTGACAGGTTTTATGATGAAGGAGATACTTATGTCGTTTTCGTTTTTGCGGTGTAGCTACACCGGTGCTACACTGCCGTACACCGAAATATTTTAGGGTGTAGATATACACCCCTATTCTGTATTTCGTTTCGAACGAAATTCTCATACAAAAAAATATTTCCAGAACAACATGTGAAAAGGGCATACAAGCTTTTTGTAAACAAACCTTTGTAGGCCCTTTTCTCACCAACCGAGGGTCGCCCACGCAAACCAGCAATATCATCGGGAAAGGGAAAGTGTCCCCTACCCGGTGATGTTAAAGGTTTGCGTTGGTGTCATATGTGTGGCGAGAAAAGGGCATAAGAAGGTTTGTTTACAAAAAGCTTGTATGCCCTTTTCACATGTTGTTCTGGATTTTTTTGTATGAGAATTTCGTTCGAAACGAAATACAGAATAGGGGTGATAGAATGCACCTTTGTTCACAAACAAATGATGTTGAGCTGTCAAAGACTCGCGCTTATTCCTGCTTACACTACACCAGTGCTACACCGCAAAAACGAAAACGACATTAATGAATGTCAACACGGTAACCTAAAGTACCCAATAATGACTACAAAGTAAGCATTTGCGAGGGAAACTGGGACTACCCATTAAATGAGTAAAATTTTACCCATTTATGAGTAATTACAACTACAAAAATAAGTAGTAAGTATTCATTTTTGAGTAACAAATACTCATAAATGGGTAATATGTTTACTCATTTAATGGGTAGTCCCAGTCTCCCTCGAAAATGTGTTCTTTGTAGTCAGTATTGGGTAATTTGCGGTTACCGTGAATATCATACCTTCGGGCCTAACAGCTTTTCTAAACAATTACTTGACTCGATGATATTTCTAGGAATTCAAGACTCGCCCACGTAAACCAACATAACCATAAGGTAGAGGAAGACTTCCCCAACCCGATGGTGCGTAGAAATACTCAGAGGGAGAGAATGTTTTGAGCCAAATAAACTGTCATAATCTGAGCCAATCGAACATTCCAATTAGAATTTTTCTTATTCCAACTAGAATAATTTTAAGAGTATTGCAATCGAACAGAAATTCAATCACCTTTATGTTTTGTGTGCTTCTGAAATTCAACTAGTTTTTGGAATCAAAAACAATACTCTAACTCTATTGATTAATAGATCTTCACCGGTTAACGAATGACACCAAGAAATGTGTAAAATATTGCGATGCAATCAATTATTATTTTGCACCTAAATCGAATCAAAAATACAAGTCATTTGAAATGCTAGTTTCTAGCAAGGGTTGCAAGATAATTTAGGAACAAATCCCTGCTGCCGAATTGTATTTTGTTTTCTCCGCCTATCTCTCCCTTCGAGTTTTCTATGGAGTTAAGCTCGGGAACTATTGCGATTTGAGGCACTAAATTATCATCACAGTTTTGTTATTGTATGTTTTCCGGTAGCAGATAATGGACTCCTGGAAAAAGCGAAGTGGAACCAGATCCCGCGGTTCTGGATCGTATCACCTCAAAACAATTTCTATGTAAAGATCCCTTCAGACCGATCGCGTTTGTCATAGTGGTCTTTGGTTTTTTGTTCATGATTCCGTTATAAAAAATCTGGTTATCTGAAGTCTAAGACTTGGAAAATTGGTAACTACACTGCAATGCTCATTTCTGTTTGTAAACTTTGTAAACGTATCAAATAAAAATGAATAAATAGTGTATTACTGAATTATAAGTGGGGATGGGTGGCATTCACTAGCCCGAGAATACCCTCCACATGCCAGCCTCTTCACCAACCATACATCAGTACACACTTATCGAGTCAGTAATTTTTACCGAGTTTTTGAATTGCGGAACTCTTCGGTAAAATTAAAAAAATCTGTGAAAAATTCAAAGTTGAGAAAATGTGTTACGAACATTTACAGACTAATTATTGCTAACTCCGTGTAATGATGAGAAATAAAAAAAAATCGATTTTATCAAATCTTTACGAATAACAATCATTTGAATTTTAACCGAGTTTTTCAGTAATCCAAAAATCCAGTAAAAAATACTGACTACTGCAAAAAAAAAACTAAGTGTGTATACAGAAGCTGCGGAGCTTCACACTCCTCCATCGAAACTGCACCGCAGCTGAGCTGCGAGTGCTATGAAATAAAAGGGTCAACGACTTATTACCACTACCTACTTCTCTCCCTTCTGCTCTCAGAATTCGCAGATTCGGTGTCTCTCGTTGTGTTTTCTGCTGAGACTGAGCAATATTCGATACCGCGAAACATCTCCGCAGTTATTTTTTCTTTCGGCGCAGGAGATGTGCGGTAATCAAAAGTTAAGAATGTAGCTAAACATTTACAATAACATTCTACCAAATTTTCATGTGCGTAGTCCACTGCAACAGCCGAACGTACGAACAAATAGGGTGACTATAGCGCATTTTATGAAAACGTCACAAGTTTTTATGGCTGTTTTAAATCAATAATTACGAAGAATCCATAAAGCCTACAAGGTTACTAACAAAGGCACAAATCTAGGGAACTGCATGGAAAATGTTTTGAAGAACAACTAAATAAACAGAAATGAAAATTTTCAACTTAAAAGTACTAAAATGTATGAAATTTCACCAGTTTTTTTTTTGGTACTTTCAACATACTTTTCAATTTAAATGTATGATAATTAAGTTTAATCGAGTTCTTTACCAAAGAGCATTGATAGCTAAGACTTTAATCTTTCATTTGGTATGTTGAAATCAGAAAACTACATTAAGATTAAAAAAATATAGCTAACCAAAGTTGGCAATAAAAAAAAAACATAGAATGTTGAATAGCTCACTTAGCAGTCATTTCCGACCCTATATTTCATGGGGATTTTTTCATAACTTTAGGAGACCTATCTACCCTGAAAATATGTAAAACCCGGAACCAATCACCCTGTATGTAGTCACCTTGGTTTAGGACAACTTTCGGTCAACCTCTAGATACTTATACGACCAAACCAAGCCATACTTTTTATTTTCGGACCAGCTTCTTCTTCTTCTGCCACCTAAAATACAACTTTTATTATCACTAGCGTATGTAGCTCAATGTGTTTGCATTATATTTCCTATAGAGTCACGGTGAATTACTAGAAAATTAGTTTCATGAATGTTCAGCCTATATAAATCAAGTGGAAGCATCTCCAACGTACAGAATCGAACAAAAGTCTTCTCAACATCTACCATTGTGCGCGAAATGGCCGGAGTAGCGTTAGCCGTTATTGTGGAGAAACTTAATGAATTCGCTCCGGAAAACCTAGCGGAGAAGTGGGACAATGTAGGGCTGTTGATTGAACCGTTTACTAAAAGGTAGGTTTTGTGTTCAGCATGAAGTCTGTAAAAAGTTCCACATCTTTTTGGTTTTTACAGGAATATTAACAAAATTCTGTTGACCAATGATCTTACCGAGAATGTGATGAGTGAAGCTATGGCAAGAAATTCTGATATGATCATTTCATACCATCCACCAATATTTGCGCCACTCAAGAGAATCACTCAAAAATCCTGGAAAGAACGTATCGTTTCGATATGTCTAGAAAACAAAATAGCACTGTATTCACCTCATACCAGCTGGGATAGTGTTACAAACGGTGTTAATGATTGGCTAGCTGCTACCTTACCATTGGCCAGTGCTCAGCCTGTTCTGGAAAACCTATCAAATCCATCAATCGGAGCCGGAAGACTATGTGTCGTCCAGGGCGAATTAACCCTCGGTGCAGCCATTGACCGAATCAAAGCGTACACGAAATTGAAAGACTTAAAAGTTGCTGTAGCTGTCAACAGAAATTTAGAATCCCCTATCCGAACCTTTGCCGTTTGCGCTGGATCCGGTACGAGTGTCCTCAAGGGCGTCAAGGCTGATCTATACATTACAGGTGTGATATGAAAATTAAGATGAAATCTTACTTAGTCTTAGACTGTTTACTAATTGTTCTTGTTAATTCTAGGGGAAATGTTCCACCACGATGTGTTAGATGCAAACCATCAGAATATACATGTAATCCTACTCAATCACAGTAACTCGGAAAGGGGATATTTACCGATATTCAGAGAAATTCTACGCAACATGCTGAAAGAATATCAAGCTATTCAGATTGATGTCTCAGAGCAGGATGCCGATCCGTTGCAGACCTACTGATTTCCGGTGTACCACTGGTAACACACGCAGCAAGACCCTGGCCAATTGCAACAGCAGCAGCAGCATCAGCAACTGCAGTCGCAATTGGCCAGCGGTAGCGGCGCCATCACCAGTGGCAATCATCCCATCCAGTCAACCAATGCCCAGCGACAACCGCATGTCAAGCAGAAGAGAGTCGTTTGTAGCAACAAGAAGCGAAAAACTAAATAATCTTATCCGGTTTCGGCGTAGACGGAACGATAAATAAATTTACTCTAGAAGAGTCTACTAAGTAATGTAATTTCGTGGGTTCTATGGTAAAGAAAAAGAAAAATTAGCATTTGGCGTCAGATTATCGGCTTTAACAGCAATGTTTTCCCTGAAATTACAATACATTAGTACATTAGGACAAGGCCTAACAGACTGAAGCGGGACCCACAAAACTGCGTGACGGACTGAAACAGCGTCGATGTAAAGTTGCCGAGTAGAGATGTCGTTGGAAAATCACCTTGACATGCGTTACACTTGTCATTTGACGGGCGAACTCCGTCGTCAACGCTGACGGTGACGCAGTATTGTGAGTCCTGCTTGAGACTATTATCGAATTTGTTTATTACAGGTTTGAGAAACAGTTAAAACTAAAGCCCTACAGTAAAAGCACAAACGAAGTGACAGACGACTTACTGGCGAAGAAATCCATTAAAATAATGTGGTTCACTGTAATAGAATTTTCTTGGAAGCTTGTGCCATCATCCACCAGATGGGTTAGTTTTTTTGTTTTGATTTGAACAAAGTTGATTTTGTGTACAATGATTCTTTGACAGTGTGCAAAGAGTGTGTATCATTTTGTCATTTTTTTATGCATTTCAGTTTTGAGTAGAGTGAAAGAGATAGAACCAAAATATTCTAGTGGTATTGGTGAAAATGCTAGATCAATCCAATAGTAGTGTTGCCATGTGGTACAATCCAGTAGTAGTGGTGTTGCCATGTGGTACACTGAAAAATTGCAATAGCAGGTTAGTCACCAAAGTTTTCGAGCCGCTCCGTCTGTCACTTCGTTTGTGGTAAAAGTATGGACTAAAGAGCCTGAATTTATAAAGAGGCGACATCTTATCCATTTGACAGGTCTTCTGCTCGATTGGAATGACTTTTCTTATGACTTTGACAGACAATCGATTGTTCCAATTCTGACATGTCGTCTCTTTGTAAATTCAGGCTCTTTAGTATGGACGTATGTCAAAAGTTGTTTCAATCGAACCGTCAAAATGCACCGCTTTGCTCGATTGGAACAGCTTTTTTCAGTTTTGTGGTGACAGTCGTCCATACTTTTACTGTAGGGCTTTAGTTCTAACCTGTGCGAACTAAAGCCCTCTAGTTAAAGTGTGGACGACTGTCACCACAAAATGAAAAAAGCTTTTCCAGTCCTACACTGAAACAAAGATAATAGTTAGGAATACTATTTTGCAGAAAACACTTATTTTCAGTATAACTACGCTTAATACCGTTAAATCTACCATGATTTCAGTATAGTTGACTATAAATATAATCAAATTTACTACCATTCTGTCAAAACTACTATGCTGACTCAAACGGTATAGTAGTTTTGATAGAAAAATTAGTCAAATTAAATGAATTTCGTTTCTGCACAAATCTATTGGTGGGAGTATTTAATTTAAACCATCAATATAGTATTTTTGCCAATGGATTTTGTTTCTGTGTAAGAGGAAGAGGAGACAACTGGCCAATCACGAGCTGGTTCGCGTTTGACACAAAAGTGGTTCGTTTTCGCCCCCGTATTGTCTTCTCTTCCTCTTAGTTCCAATCGAGCAAAGCGGTGCATTTTGATGGATCGATTGGAACAACTTTTGACAGACGTTACATATACTGTAGGGCTTTAGTGCGAACCCAAGTTTATTGTCAGTGCGAACCTTATACCATAGAGGTAACTCTAAGACCAGAAGGTCCCGAAGAAATGTGCTCAACTTTTTGGCTCAGCCCTGGTACTATCTTCGGTCCCAAGCTAATCGATTCACCCCTCGAAACATAGGAAAAACCATTAACCCCTCATTTTACCTGTCAAACTTTCATAGCGAATCAAAACAAACATTGCGTAGTACTAGAATTTCGACTAGAATGGGATACGTTAATAGTTTGCTTGGGACCAATAGGCTAGTCAAGTAGTAAGCCAATTTAAAATCGTTAGTTTCGTATTGATTGTTGCTTATACCCTGGACAGACTATGGCTTATATCATGTAATATAGGCTGTCTTGCAATGAGCACTCATACATTGGATTTCCAGTTAAAACTAGAACATCCCGGCGGCGCCGACTGGGATTGAACCCAGGCCTGCTGGGGTGAGAGGTAATCACGCTTACCACTACACCACCGGCGCCGTTTACTCAAAACTGAAATGCATAAAAAAATGACAAAATCAAGACCAACAATTGAAATGGCCTTAACTCCATTTTGTAAACAAACCTTGTAAGGCCATTTTCTCGCGAACCGAAACCTTCATTCGCAAACCTAAACCACAATCGGGTAGAGGAGAATTTTCCCTACCTGTTCATTATGTTGGTTTGCCCTTCCGGACTTCGGTTCGCGAGAAAATGGCCTTACAAGGTTTGTTTACAAAATGGAGTTAAGGCCATTTCAATTGTTGGTCTTGAAATGATACGCACTCTTTGCACACTGTCAAAGAATCATTGTACACAAAATCAACTTTGTGCAAAACCAAAACAAAAATACTATCCCATCTGGTGGATGATGGCAGAAGTTTCTAAGAAAATTTTATTACAGCGAACCACATTATTTTAATTGATTTCTTCGCCAGTTAGTCGTCTGTCACTTCGTTTGTGTTGAAGGTGCATTCGATAATTCATCTCACGATTCAATGACTACAGCTATGATGAAACGTGGTTTCGATCAAAGCATTGTAAATTGGATCAATGAAATGTTATCAAAAAGAGAAATATCAGCAAACCTTGTAAGCTCACTCATCAGTGTAAGAGCAACCAAAGGATGCCCGCAAAGAGGCGTGTTATCACCTCTATTGTGGTCTTTAATAGTTTAAGGCTTCGAAATAATTGGCTTCGCAGATGATATAGTCATAATTGTACGTGGCAAATATGATTGTATTATTGCTTACAGAATGCAAATTGCTTTACAGTTTGTCTCATCGTGGTGTGATAGGGAAGGATTGAACATAAATCCTTCTAAAACTACTATCGTGCCATTTACCCGAAGGAACTTTCTAATGCTGTCAAATATCTTGGAGTAATCCTCGATAGCAAACATAATTGGAATATGCACCTAGAGCAGGCAATAAACAAAGCTACTAATGCTCTATGGATATGCAAAAGAACATTTGGTAAACAGTGGGGACTGAAACCGAAAATGATCCATTGGATTTACTCGGCAATTGTGAAACCCAGGATTACTTATGGTGCATTGGTCTGGTGGCCAAAAACAAAAGAGAGTGTTGCTCAGAGAAAGTTAGAAAAACGCCAAAGGTTAGCAACTCTCTCAATAACAGGTGCAATGAGAAGTACACCATCGAAGGCATTGGATGCTTTGCTTTATATGCTACCGTTGCATCAATTTGTACAATTAGAAGTCGAAAAGTGTGCTATAAGGATTGCAAGGTCAGTGAAACTCTTTGAAGGAGACCTTAGAGGACATCTTAGGATTCTAAAAGCTGTTAGTATCAACTCTCTAGTAAAGAACGACGAAGATTGGATGGAGAAAAGATACAATTTCAATCGACTTTTTCAAGTAGTTGACCCTGGGCGTAATTCATGGCAATTTGGTGGCCCGGTTTTTCGTCCAGGATCGATTGTTTTTTATACAGATGGTTCAAGATTGAACAATCAAGTGGGAGCAGGAGTAACTGGCCCAGGGATAGAAATATCGGTTCCTATGGGCAGATGGCCAACTGTGTTCCAAGCTGAAATCCAAGCAATTTTAGAGTGTTCCGTTATATCTTTGCGTAGAAACTATAAGAGTTCAAATATATGCGTCACGTCCGACAGTCAAGCGGCTCTAAATGCTTTAAAGTCGGCGACATGTACATCAAAACTTGTCTGGGAGTGTGTTCAATCACTTCAAAAATTGTCTTGTCATAATCAAGTCAACTTATATTGGGTTCCTGGTCATTGCGGGATTGAGGGAAATGAAAGAGCTGATGCACTAGCAAGACTCGGATCTTCTCATAAGTTCATCGGGCCAGAGCCCTTTTGTGGCTTATCGGCTGCATATCTTAGAATGGAGCTAAAAGCGTGGGAATCTTCAAAAGTGGAGGAAAACTGGAAGAACACTTCTATTGCTAGGCAGTCGAAGCGATTTATTAATCCAAACATTTCTGTGACCCACAAAATCCTGGAACTTTCTAAGAAAGATCTTAGTATATATGCAGGTTTTATAACAGGTCATTGTCCGAGCCGTTATCACTTGAAGCTGATTGGAAAACTTCAGGATGATGTATGTCGCTTCTGTGGCATAGAAAAGGAAGACTCGGAACATTTGCTATGCCACTGTCCAGCAATTTTCAATAAAAGGCGTAAGTTCTTCGACAAGGGGCTGATAGAACCCTTTGACATTTGGAGAACAACTCCCAGTACGACAGTGCATTTTATTCGAAGTATAATGCCGTGCTGGGATAATCCTATTAGTCAAACGATGGCGATCACTCCTAATAATAGTGATACGGCATCTTGATATAGCTAAAGAAAAAAAAATGGGGAATATATCACAATAGATCAGAAAAATGGTCGCAGTGATGAAAATACCCGACAAGGAAAAAAAAAACAAATTTCACGTTTAATCATTCTTTTCTAAATTTATTTATTTCAATACAAGGTTAGATCTTATATTTTGCAATACAGGGGAACTAAGACCAAGAAGGTCACCCTAAGGATAGTGCGGGGATGGGATTCCGTGAACATTTAAAGGAATTTGTTCACGAAATTGTTTGTTTATTACATTGTATGCATGTATCATAAATGAAATTAAAATTAAACCCCATCAAAAAAATGTTATGCATTTTTTCACAACGTCATATTGGAACCATAAAAGCCAAATTGTGGTAATTTCTTAACATTTTTGTATAATTTTATACATAAATGTAGGGGTGGCACTCTTGCCCCGTATAACGTTTATTTTTAGGCACATAATTTTTGAATTATGAATCATGAATAAAATAGTTAACAATTTATTGTTATTAATGTTTCAATCAACCATTAATAGTTGACGTTTAAATGCAGAAATTGTGAAAAAATGGAAGTTCAGAAATCCTT